GGGCTGGGCACCTGGTTCCATGGAATCTTGTTGCCCCACATGACTGCAGCCAGCTTAAAAAAGTTTGTTGTGGGCCCAGTGTGATGGCTCAATGGCTAAATCCACCTCTTGCAAGCACTGGGATATCATACGGATGCTAGTTCATGTCCTGGCTGCCCCACTTCCCTTCTAGCTCCCTACTTGTGGCCTGGGAAAGCAGCAGAGAATCACCCAAAACCTTGGGACCCTGTGCCTGTGTGGGAGTCCTGGAAGAAGCTCCTGGCTCCTGGCTTCGGATCAGCTCAGCTCTGGCCATTGCAGCTACTAGGGATGTGAAGCAGCAGATAGAAGATTTTTCTCTTTTCTCCATGAGACTGATCTGTCTTTCCAATAAAAATTTTGAAAATAAATCTTAATTTTTTTTTTTGTCATCTTCTCTGGGGGAACGCAGGGTTCCTCTGTCCCTTCTATGGAACGTGTGAGAGGACAGACCATCCTGGTGCCCTGCGTACTCAATGGGCTCTGCGAGGCCAGCAGCTGGCCCTGGGCACCTGGGCAGGATGGGCATGGCTTTCTCCTTCCATGGAGACGCTGCTGGGCCTTCGGGTCAGCTCAGTCGCTCGGCTTCCAGGTGGTTCTGAGAAGCTACAATGCTTGCACGTGAACCATTGACCTGATGAAACAGGTCACAAAGTTGCCTATAACCCTGAAAAGGGGCTGAAATGAACTTGCTACACTGGACTGGCTCTTAGGAACGTGGCCCAGGAAGGGGCGGAGGCAAAAGTATATATGCCTTAGGGGTCACGGCTGTGGCATAGTGGGGTAAGCTTCCACTTGCGCTCACAACCTATACAGGTGTGTGTTTAAGTCCTGGCGGGCTCCACTCCCACTCCAGCTCCCTGCCATTGCTCCTGGGAAAGTAACGGAGGATGGTACAAGTGCTTGGGCCCCTGCACCCATGTGGGAGAACCAGAGAAAGCTCTTGGTTCCTGCTTCTCTGCCTGGCCCAGCTCCAGCTGTTGCAGCCACTTGGGGGGGTGAACCATTAGAGAGAAGAGCTGTACTCTCCCTCCCTCAAACTCTGCCTTTCAAAAATAATAATAATAATAATAATAATAAATCTTTAGGAAAGAACATCTCCTAGAGGCTGGTGTTTGGTTCAGGGTTTAAGCCACCACTTGGCACACCTGCATTCCATAACAGAGTGCCTGGTTCAAGTTCTGGCAAGTGCCAGCTCCTTTGCTCATGACCCAGCCCCCTGCTAAGGCGCACCTCAAGTCCGTGGGCCCCAGGGCCAAAATTCCTGGCTTCTGGCCTTGGCGTGAGCCATGGGGAGTAAAACGCAGTGGGCTGCAGCTCCCTGCCTGGCTCTCTCTCAAATAAACAAAATAATCAGCTGTTTGAAATGCAGTTCTAGAAACCTGATAACCTGGCTCTCTCTAGAGAAGCATCCTGCGTGAGTGTAGCTGGATACCATCTAACCATCACAGGCCCACAGGCCCCTGCTTCTCAGGGGAGGAGCGCGATAATGACTTCTCCCTGAGGGGACACTGAAAAGTGCTTAGAAGCAAACGGTTCTAAAAGCCCGAGTTCATTCAGTACTAAGGGGCCATTCCAGATCTCAATCAATGTTTTCCATTATGTCAGGCCACAAATGTCCATGTTCCTGGGAGGTACCACCTAGCAGAGTGCCTGGGCACAGGCCCGCTAGGCAGCGTGCTGACCAGGGCCTGGGCACGGGCCCTCTAGGCAGCACTCTGTCTTGGGTTTAGATTAAACACCCCCTCTGTATGCCTGCGCTTGCAGCCCTGGGTCACAGCAAGGACACAGTGTGATAATGAAGTGGCCGGCAGGTTAAGTAACTGCACATTTGGGTTCCTGCTCATGCTGTAGGAGTGCGGAAATGGGAGGGGGGCTGCCACAAAGCAACCGTTATTTAATGGTCAGTCCCTCGCTCATCCAAGACTCATCAGAATGGCTTGAGTGAGGGCTAGGGACCAAATGAGGAATGAACACTGCGATATCAGTGTTACCCACCCCACAGTGACAGCTGGGAGTGGCAGGCTGAACTCTGAGGCACTTCACCTCCTGCAGCGCCTCGGCCCCTGCCAACCTGCTTGAAGCCTCCAGCCACAGAAAGCTCTGGAAGGCCATTTCCCCTGGGAGGAGGTCTCCGGGCAGGCTTACTCCCTCTCCTGCTCTTTCTGACGGACCCAGGGTCCTTAGCCGCTCCCGCACTCCGTGTGATGCTCAATGTGAGGAACTCTTGGAACCCACATCTGCCTGGTCTGGTTCTCCTCTGGGACCACTTTCAGATAGCTCTGCTCTCTGACCAGTCATTGAAGGGCTGGCTCAGGCCCTCCCTGGCACTGGGGGCACCGTGGCAAGAGGCTGCAGAGTTTCACATGCCCTCTGCATTTGAGCTGTGGCAGAGCAGGCCCAGACTCTAAAGGCTGAAATATGATGTGATTTCAATAGAAATGTGGGTGCAGGCCCCAATGTGGGAGGCGGCATTTGCACACCATGACCTTCCCAGGATGAAAGGACCTGGCTTCACTCATACCAAGCAAAAGCCAGAGCCGAGAGCGCAGGGCCAGCGAGCTCCTGGAGGCGTGGCATTCGGTGGCATCTCCTCTTCAGAAGGGCATCTCCCTGCCCTTCCTTCCTCTGCTTTCGTGCCTAAAGGCATGTCTGCCAGCATCCTCCCAAGTATATGTGTGCATGTGGGCAGCAAAGCAGAGCTGACTGTCTCTCTCCTTCTCGGGAGAGAAGGCGGGGCCCTGAAGGTCTTGAGCAATCAAAGCCCTTGGGATCACTATTTCATATATTAAAAAAAGGGAAAAAAAGTGACATGAGGCACAGTGACGCAGCACAGGGACGGAAGACGCTGTCCTTGTCCTTCACAGGCGGTCAGTTTGACACATTGGACTGTGTCGTTTTGTCTTTCTACCGTGTCAGGTATAAGTGAATAATAAGCTTACAAGTTGAAGAAATGAAATTCATGATCATGCAGGTCTGCAGAGCCCGTATCCCAGAGTTACTTTTATAGGCACAATCATGTCAGCGGAAGTGATCTGAGTGGTTCCGCAATGATGATCTCGGGAAGAGACTACCTGTTAGAGCAGGAAGCAGGAAGCTGTTGGCGTCGGCCCAAGGGGCCTGTCCCTGCTAACACCTCTGCCGCGTGAGGTCACCATCCAGAGCGGCCATGCCCACGCCCCGGGTGAAGGCAGCAGGGCTCAGCTGCCTGTCGGTGTAGTCATTCCAACCTAGGAAGATTGCTACATGCCACTGCAGTTTCTATTTTATTATAGTGCTTTAGATCTGTCCTTGATTTTTGTTTCAAAGCGTTAAAAAAAAAAAGGGTAAGGATTTATCTTAATGCTAGAAAACATGTTGTTCTAGCCAAACTAGACTTAATTCTTGGATTAATCTTACTCCCTACATTTAACCAGCGGCAGGCATTCTATCTAGTCCTTGCTGCCAATATTTGTGAAATGGTCTGTTTCACCTTCAGACTCTTGGTAGAATATTTTATCATGTGGTTTTATAACCCTTAATAGGGATCTATATCTCTCCCAGGAATACAGCTACATCCATAAACATCAATCATCGATGTTTTAAAAGTGTCCTTTAAATATTGAATAACCGCTGCGTGAACATCCCAGTTAAAGGAGAAATCCCAGTAAGAATGTGATTGATACCAGGTATCCTGGATCCATCTTAAGGATCCATGCTCTCCAGAGAGAGAGAGAGAGAGAGAGAGGGACCTCCTCTAGTGTCTATTCTGGGCATAAAATATTAAATAAGAATTCATAAAAGGCATATTACTCATCTCAAATCAATTTGCCATGCTCACAAACAGGGTTGGATACAGCTTGTGGTGTTTAGCTTTTACTTGGGATAAGTAAAATTCTTAGACAGATAAGATCTTAAACATGAAATACGATCGACTGGTTGGGAGGGCGGAGTGCCTTCTCCCGGGTCAGACTGCTTGCAAAGGAATGCCCAGTTCTGCCACACACTGGCCGTGACCTCCTGGGGGGAGTTGCCTATCTGCTTTATGATCCAATTTTCCCGTATGAAATAAGGTGTACACATACACAGCTAGGGGGTACTTCATGAAGTTTTTGCACACCAGTCAGCCTTTGGCTATCATCTGAAAGATTTTTTTTTTTTTTTAAGAAAAGAGAGCCAAAAATCTATGGACAGTGGGATGAAACCAGAAATTAATTTTGGTGAAAGACAACTGAAATACATTGACACAAAGGGTTTTCAAGAAGTTCGTGAAAAATGCATATGACCAAAAAGCCATGCATGGATTTCAAAGCATTTTACCCCAAAATAAGCTCAGAATTCCACATGCTTTTTGAGTACCTGCATATATATTCACACACGTATGTAAACAGTTACCTGTGGACACACGTGTAAGACTTACATAAGCCAACATGCCCGAAGTGCTGTTTGCGGGAGGCCTGACTTGTAAGCACTTCAGTAACGGTAACCATGACGGCTGCTACTGTCATCACGTGGCTCTGGGCACACCTCCACTGCTCTCACAGTTTGCTACCACCCTGGAGAGAGGTACCTGAACGGTCGCTGGTTATCAGGCCATGTGGCCGTTGATGTATTATACTCCTTTCCTTTCCTTATCTGCAGGGGGAAGGACCATGAGCCACACTAAGACACCATGCTTGGGAAGACCCAGTGCCCCCGACTCTGAAAACCACAGTCACAGCATCTGCATCAGGAATGGGTCACACCGACTTTCCTCATCAGACCTGTCACCTACAGGAAAGCAGAGCAAGGCCTCATCCAGTGGGAAGCCGACCCCACAGCCCTGAGCAGCATGAATCCCCCATGGGGGATCCGGGTCCGACCTGCCCCTGCCTCTTTCTTGTGCACCATCTCCTTTTTGGGTTGGTGTTTTTGCTAAGCAATGGACACACACACACACACTTGCGCACACACACATGTGCACATATGGCAACAGGAGAGAACCTTCCAGAATTCTCCCATACCTGTTTGGAAGATGACGTGCTTGAAAACCGGGATCTCTCAAAACTTGCCTCCTGCTCCCAATACTGATATTGCTTCTTGTCATTTGGGTCTCTTCGGAATTCCTGTCGTCTTAAACAGGCCTGCGGGACAGGAAGCATTTATTCATCTTAGGGCTATGTGACCAGATTTGGTCATTTTCTGTTTAGTTCCAATCATGAGAGGTGTGAGCCCATCTCCAAATGTTTTTTAGACACCTGTGACTGAGTACAGGGACCAGGTAAGATGCTGTTCCCCCTTTACCCAAATGCCAGGCCACAACTATTAAGCACAGCTTTAATAAATTCCAACAAAAATATATCAAGAGGCTTTTTTTTTTTTTTGGTCAAAACTTTATCCAATTCAGCGACACATTGGTCATTCAGTAGCATGTTTTTTAACTTCATGGCAATTGTAACTTTTTAAAACTGTATTCCTGTTGTTTTATGGCTTTTCACCAAGGGAACATATAGTAACTGTTTGACAGAGACTATCATATCTAGATGTGAAGGTACAACGCAGTATACATCTCTACTTCCAAATCAAAGACGTTGTCCCAATGAGACTGTTAAATATATCTTGACAATAGGATGCTGGACTGTCTGCCATTGTCTGTACCTGCAATGTCAGGATACATTTAAATAGCAGAATGATGAACTTACTGCTGCTTATGAAATAATATACTAGTGAAACACCACAGGGGAAATCAGTGGGTGGGGGGAGAATTTAGAGTGGGGTGAGGGAAATCCCAGGGCCTATGGAATTGTGTCATAAAATAAGAAATTTTTAAAAATAATAAAGACTTAACCTAAATGGTGCTTCCTGAAGGAAGGTGATACCTAAACACTTTACTAATGCCTCTTTTCTGGTCTCATTCCCCCTTGGTGGATCTGCCTCTTACCTCCCAGCTCCACTCCAGCCCTGGGGTGAGGCTCTGCCTGCAGGGTCAGGGTGCTCAGGGTGCTCAGGGTCAGAGCTCTAGCACATGCTGCTCCCTAGCCCTGCAATGCCTCCCTCTCGAGGCCTCACTCTGCCTTTTCCTCGCTGCCTTCAGGCTCCGTCAGTCCCCAGGGAAGCAACTAGTACACAGTCCTTTCTCCTCAGTCATCCACGGTCAACCCTGGCCTGGAACATGGAAGGTTCCAGAAATCATTCAGAGGCATAAGCTTCAAGCTGTCCGGTTCCCTAGGGCACCATCCTACTCTGCTAAGTGCAACCTGTTGAGTCCTTCCTGCCGGCAGCGTGGCCCGGCACGTTAGTCTGGGTTAGCAATTGTAATCCCCGGCCTTGTGTTGATGTACTTAAGGGATGGGCCCGGAGCACATGCACAGTCTTGTGGCCATTTTAGAAAATGATAGGTGCATCACTTTTCTATTTTATTATTAGTTAATGATTGTTAACCCTTTACCGTCTCTAACCTAATCGTGTATAGAGACATGTAGGGAAAAATAATATGGCTTGCATCTGGCACTATCTGAAGTTTCAGGAAACTTATGGGGTGAGGGGTACTGCGTGTTAGCTTAAGACACATGGTGTGGACTGCACCGTTTTTCCTGCTGAAATTAGTGGGTTTTGTGTGTGAATCTGTTTTCTTTGCTACTCAGGTGGAACCCTAAGAGCTGCTTCCCCATGGACTCTCCGCATCCAGCAATTCGTCTAAGTGGAAGTGCATTGCTGCTTTGAAGAAATATATTAATCCTTAAATACAAAATGATAATGATAATAATAAAACAGTAAATGTTACCATTTTTCTGAACAAAAGTGCAGGTACTGGCACATTGTTCCTCCGACACAAGCCAGCCCAATGACACAGTGTGCCACGGGGATTTCAACTATTGCTTCCTGCTTAAAAGCTTTATTTACTTTCACCAAATGTCAAAGAGAGACAGAAGGAGGTGCAGAGACAAAGAACTCCCGTCCATCAATTCGCCCCCTCAAATGCACACAAAGCCAGGCCAAGCCAGGCAGAAGCTTGGTGCCCACAACTCCATCCGGGTCTCCTGGGTGGGCAGTAGTGACCCAAGCACCTGAATCATCACCACTGCCCCCACGGTGCCCATGAGCAGGAAGCTGGGGTTGGAAGCAGAGCCAGGACTTGAACTCAGGCACCATGACATGCGCTCATTACTTTTAAACACAGCCCAAACTAGGAACATAAACTCCATCCAGATTCCCCATGCAGGTGGCTGGAACCCAGGTTCGTGGCCGTGCATCTGCTGCCTCCCACGCACATGAGCAGGAGGCCGACTGGGAAGCACAAGGGAGCTGGGCCTGGGACCAGCCGTTCTGACACGGGATGCAGGTGTTCTGACTGCAGGTGCACCACATCACCTACCCCTCAACAGGACATTTTAACTGTCACAGTAAAGCCTCTTGGAACCTGTCCTCGCTTTAGAGAGCCACGACCCAATTCACCACAGCCCTGCCAGGACCAAAAAGGATCCAGTGTCACAAAACAGTGTTGTTTCTTTCTAAAGTAGGCCTAACATCTCCCGCTCCCTCCCCGGGGGGCCGTGCGGAATGAAGGAAAACCCCCTTCCCCACTGAGCGTTCCCTGTTGGAAAAACACATCTTCTCCCACAAGGGAGTAGGACTCCACCTGAGTTCTGGCCTCAGGTTACGCCCCTAGGGTAAGAATAGAAACAACCCGATACAAACACAACATTACACCTTGTGCCTCAAGGCTGAGCTGCAGGTGAAGCCCTGGCCCTGGGGCCTGTCCACAGCAGCCAGCTGCCACCTGCTGCAGGTGCTGGGGCGTTCCTTCACCTGCCTGCTTGCACGTGCAGAACACTCCCAAATGACTGATCTGTATTCTTCTTCCTTTCCCACAGTTAAGATTAAAAAAAAAAAAAAAAAAGGCACTGCCACACAGATAATAAGTCACTGTAATAAATACAGGGCGGTGTTTGTTTTAATAATTTATACAAGAAAACCCAAAGAATACTAGACAGTAACTGTAACCAATTAAACAAGGAAACAAAACAAAAATCTCCTTCCACATAATGAATAAACCTAAACAGGCCGCTGGAGAACTTGAAAGAGTTAAATTAGAGGCGAGGGCACGCCTATACGTTTGTGAACATTGGTACAAAGGCACACTTTTTTTCTTAATACCCAGCTTTCATGGATTTCTAGATGACCCCTTTTATGCCTGGACTTAATTTCTTTTTTCTTAACAAAATAAGCTTATCTTCAGAATCCATTCCCCACCGTTTGAAGGACCTTGGAATGCGCAGGCAGGCACGCGGGACCAAGGCGGACTGGCGCTGGATGAACAGAATCTGCTGGTGAACATTCTCTCCAGCCAAGTGCATGACTGCCAGCGAAAGGGAGAGGGGTAGTTTGGTTTGTAAGGTTGAGAGAACAAACTGTGGCCTGGTCCCTCTTCCCCTGGCCCGCAGAGCGTACACTCCTCCTCTCTTGCTTTGCTGGGCATGTGAGGCCACCGCCAGGCCTGGGCATGCAGGCCCGGAATCAGCGAGAACCCCGTTCTCACTCCGCAGCATCCTCCACGTTTGCAGCCAGGACTGTGCTGCTTCTATGTGCTCCTGCCCCGGGCCCTGGCCCCGAACTCATGGCTCATCCCTGCCAGTAGCTCGCCACTCAGGACTTGGAAGATCCCTTTGGTCCAGGTCCGTGGGTCACAGAGCAGGTGATCCAGTCAGGACCCTGGACAGCCAACCCTGCCCACTCTCCTGTGGGCGAGACTGGGTGCCTGGCCATCACTGGGGTTGCTGGACGGCTGCTGCGCGTGGCTGGTGTGGCTGGACTCTGCCATGGGTCAGGCTGTTGGCCTGCAGGGACTCATTTCTCTTTAGCTAGGGAAGAGAGACTCTCTCTGGCCAGGCCTGGGCTTCATGCCTAGGCAGGGGAGCATCCATCCTCCTGCCCCACTGTTCACAGGAGCGCAGTGTGGCGTGGTCATCGGGGGTCACACTGTGCCTGCTCGTGCCTTCTGGCTTTCAGAGCCCACAGTGGCACTGCCCTGTCAGTCGGGCTTTGGTGGTTGGTAGCACGCTGTGGTCAGCTGGGAGAGTTATAGAAGAAAAGTCTCAACTTTAGTTCAAGGTTCTGGTCCAAGGTCAAGGGGCTGCATCTGGTGGTGACTTCCGACTTGGCAGAGTCCCTAGGCAACATGGAGGTGTGTGTGTGTACGTGTCCTGTAGGTCCTCTGGCCTGCCTTCTTTTGTTACAAAAGGCAGTGCCAAAAGTCAGTCCTGGGGGCTCCACTCTGGTGACCTCAAGCCAATCATAATCCCTACCCCCCCACTGCCTGGGGCCTCCATTGCTAAGAACCAGCGAGGGGTCAGCTTTCCAACCTTGTGAACACTTCAGGATGCAAACTCACTGCAAACAAGTGCACCGTGTGAGAGACATCCAGCCACTGGCACAGCATGGCACCTCGGGGTCCCTGTTGTGTCTGCACCCTTGGCTCCTCTTCCTGGCTCTACATGAATCTCCCCACTGCCTCACCCGAGGCCTCAGTCCACCAGGTGCTGTCAAGGTCACTGGAGCTCTGATTCTGGCCACAGTGGGAGAAATCGACATAGCCATTGCCTTCACTTGGTTTTGTTAGATATGTGTGTGTCAGTAGCTAACATACATAGATTTTTAAAAAATTATGATACTTCTCTCTGTGTTTTTAATCTTTTATAACATTTGAAGATACTTTTGCTTAATTAAAAAATTTTTTAATTTAGTTTCTTCACTGGTTTAACTCCCTAAATGTCCCCAAACAGCCAAGGCTGAGCCAGGTCAGACCCAGGAGCCCAGAACACGATCCAGTTCTCCTGGTGGGTGATGAGGACCCATCTCCTCAAGCCATCATCCAACATATCCCAAGGTAAGCATGAACAGGAACAGAGAGCAGACCTGGGGACTCAGATATGGGGTGTGGGTATCCCCAGGGCTGGCATGACCATTGTGCCAAATGCGCAGCCATGGCAAATGTTTTAGCCATTGTTGGTGACATTGTTAAGGGTCATTAGCTCCAAGAGGTTAGGAAGGCATAGAAAGAGCTTGGAACCACGCTGCCCTCAAGCTGATGGGTTGGCCCCAATCCTCCTTAGGGGTGAGCCGGGCAGAGAGTCCCCTCCCAACTTGCATGGGAAACGAGGCTGAATAACCCCGTTCCTGAGTGGACGGCCCACCAAATCCCTTGCCACCTAGTATAAAGACACCTGTTGTGTTCCCAGACAACTTTCTATCATCCTGTTTAGCTGTTTGATCTGCACTCATAAGAATCAAGATGAGTAAGTGACACGAAATGAGATCAATTGGAACACATTTGATAGCTTGTAGAAAATTGTTCTGAAATGCCAAGCTTTCCAATGGACATTAACGGTAAATTCTGCCTCCAGTTGGGTAAACACATTTGACACACACACACACACACATAAGAAAAGGCAACATGAACACCCTTAAAACACTAGGGCCAAATTCTGAGATGACATATAATTATATACTCATTACCAGACTCTGAAATAGCATGTAATATGCCAAATAGATGTTTATTTCTTCTTACTGTCTCAGAAGGGTCCCACCCAGCTCCTGAAAGGAAGAGTATCAAAATAACTCGGGTGGGTTTGTCATTTCTCGCTGCACTGACCTGTTAAGGCACTGCTAATCTGGTTGCATACCAATCCTGAGAATATTTTAGGATGTAGCAAGAATAGTTTGCCCAGGAGGTTTCAAAGGTCTTCAATTTGAGCCAGCTCATTAAAGGCAAGTCAAGCACAGGAAGGAATTTGTGGCAAGGACTTGCTTTTGACTGTAGAGTTCAAACTGGTTACCATTGCCTGAAATGGGGAGATTTCTGGTAACTCCAGCAGGTTAGTGCCTAGGAGTGCAAACTGGAATTTCCAAGCCCATTAATGACCCAGGCTACCCTTATTTTTGCCCAAATGCATGTCATTTTTCTGTTACTGTAATGAAATAACAGAGGCTGAGCATTTTATAAAGCAAAGAGGTTTAGGCAGTTTAGGACATAGTACTGCCATCAACTTGGCTCTTATAAGGACCGCATTGCAAGTGGCTTCACAGCAGGTGCGTGTGTGAAAGGAAGGGATCATGTGACTAGGAAGGAAGGCCCCTTCAGAACTTCACAATAGGTCTCACCTTGCAGGGTCCTCCCTCTAACTTTGGGCCCAAGCTTCTAATGCACTAGTCTTTCTGGGTACTCATTCAAAACCCCAGCACAATCCAAAGTATTTAAATACACACAGACTCTATGTGTGCCAAGTTACATAGGGACCAGTAACACCAAGAAATAGATCCTTAAACCATTATTATGAAACATCTCTGGCACAAGAAAAGGAAGAGATTAATAAAATTATTATTATTATTATTATTATTATTATTATTATTATTAACGCTTGCCTGCCACTGTGATGCTGGCATCTCCTATCAGAGTGTCAGCTGGGGTCCTGGCTGCTCCACATCTAATCTAGCTCCCTAATGTCTCTGGAAGCAGTGGCAGATGGCCCAAGTATCTGGTCCCTGCCATCCAAGTGTGAGACCTGGATGAAGCTCCTGGTTCCTGCATGTCCCAGTGCAAGCCTTTGGGGAGAGAAGCAGTGGATGGAAGATGTCTCGCTCTCTCTCTCTCCCCCTCTCTTTTTCTCTATGTGTGTGTGTGTACAATCTGCCTTCCAAATAAATAACTCTTTAGAAAAAATACTAAAACACCATCAGTGTTCCCCCTGAAGTAGTTACTTTGGGTCAAGTTAGGTCACATGGTCTTCATGAGTGACCAGCCCCTGCCCCATCAGGAGCTGTGACCTGAGAGGGCAGTCACACAGTCTACCTGCAGTGCAACTTTGTAAACTCTGAGCAAGTGTAACCTGGCATCAGGGTGATGGAGTTATTCTAAAACTGGACAACGACAATGGCTACACATTGGGGAGTTTACTGAAATAAGCTGATCTTAGGAGATGTAAATTATAAACATCACTTAAAAAAAATCTATGTGAGGGTCAGCCAGGGAAGGCCAAGGTTGAAGGAGGGTGCGTGGAAGAAAACTGTAGACACGCTGGGTCTGAGATGCACATGCAACATCCCCCTCCCCGGGGGCAGATGATGCTGACATTTCAGGAAGACTCAGGATTGCAGTCACCGTGATTCAAACCGCCAGTGTGTGGCGGGGGATGCGAGCGTCACAGGGAACCCTGTGAACTAGAGAGAATCAGGAGGCTGAAGCTGGGGTCCTGGGAGAGGCAGGGAGAGGAAGAAGACGTGGAAAAGAAAGCGCAGAAGAATGAGCAAGAAGAGGAAAAGGCGGTAGCGTGTGAGGTCAGAAAGTCGCAGTCATGATGCTGGCAGAAGTAGCAGGAATAGCAGCAGGTGCGAGGGTGAGTTCCAGAAACTGATGATTGAAGGGTGTCCCTTGAGCTTGACTACAACACACCTTAGGGAGTATCCCGTCATGGGTGGGGCAGGGAGGGGACAGCCAGGCTCGGTGAGTTAGAGGACGGACAGGAGGGCAGGAAACGGAACTGACTCTGTGGGGGCAGCTCGGATAGGACAGGAAGGAGCCAGGACTGTAGCTAGCAAAGGCTCTGGGGTCCAAGGAAAGCTTTGATCTTTTGTTCTTGCTGTGAGAAGGATCTGAAGTTTCCAAACTCAGCAGCCACTAAGAAGTGAAACGTCAAAGATACAGACAAGAGGCCTTGGTAGGAGAGGCTGAAGAGCAGAGGAACCTGGGCATGACCTGCACTGGGCACAGGCAGAGAGAGAGAGAGACTGGAGGGCAGTGGGGATGAGGTATGCAGCATGCGGGAGCGCTTTGAGAGGGTTTCCACCTGCTGACTTGGGGACCTTTGTTTTGTTTCATGTGTGCATGTAACAAGCACTTTGCTGGAAGTACAGGTGGGAGTTGGAAGTTGCAAAAGCCTGGAAAGATTTAAAATCGTGATGGTAGCAGAGGGAGGTGATGGACAGGTAAGTGTGCTGGAGTGAGTCAGCCTTCACTCTTCTCTTTCCCTCCCTCCCACTCCATCCATCACCTAGATGCCAGCTCTGTTTCTCTTTCCTAGGCTAGGCCACTTCTCGCCCCCGCCACTCCTACCTCCCTGGTCCAAGACACCATTCTCTTTCTGTCGCCTAGATGTCTATCAGTTTCCTTATTGCTTTCTGCTTTTTGTTCTGGACCCTCCCAATCCCTTCCACACACAGCATCGAGAGTGATCCTGTAACAGTGAAGGGCAGGCAGTTAGCCTAGCAGACACCAAGCCAGTTAAGACACCTGAGTCTCCTTAGGGGACTCCCTGGGTTTGATGTCCAGCTCAGGCTCATGTCTCCACCTGCCCACTAAAGCAGTCCCTGGTGGGCAGCAGTGATGGTTCAAATACTTGGATACCTGCCACCAACATGGGAAACCTGGAAGGGGGTTTATGGCTCCCAACTTTGGCTCAACTCAGTTGGCCATTTTAATCATTTGGAGGTAACTCTCCCTCTCAAAGCAATATGTCAATGTAAAATAGATCTTACGATTCCCCTGCTTATGAATTCTTGTTGTGCTAAGACTACAATCCCAAACACCCAGCTTTGTGCTGGGAGACCCAGCAGGATGGGTCACACCCACCTCTCCTGCCTCCTCCAGCTCTTGCTCTTGGCCTTGGTGACTGACCAAGCCACTCTGGCCTCCTCTGTGTTTATGTTGTGTTTTTCTCCATCCTAAAAGAAGAACTTTGGGGAGAACCTTGCTCGGCACAAAGTGGGCACTCCATAGGACTGGCCGAATGAAAAGGCTGTGTGGAGAGGCCGCCTGAGAGATCCCAAATGAAGCTGTACCAGTTGCAGGCCCGGAGGCTGCGTGATTCCCTTCAGCAGGAACCGTGAAGCAGGCGTGCACCTGTACCATTCCACAAGGCGGCAGAGGCGTCTTTGGGAAAAGCAGCTGGATTCCTGGGGTGACTGGTGATGATGTTTACGTTATTTGTCTTTACCAAAATTCTCTGATTCTAGAATCTTCTTAGGAAGCGGTTGGCCACATGTGTGGGCCAACTCCTGGCACCACGTCCAGTTTCCAGGATGTGCCAGACTGCATGGGTGAAGGCAGGTGAGGGAGCCAGGTCTGGTTTCCTTGGTGACCTGAAGGTTTCTGTTAGATGTGGAATTGCGAAGGAGGAGAAAAGTTGGATCCTGGCAGTTCTGCTTTCCTGGGGGAAGGGAGTGCTATGCCATGCTTAGCTGATCTGCCCTCAGCCAGCAGGATGAGACCCGCTTTCTAACTGCTCCCAGAACCCCACAACCTAGCCTGGCAAGTTTGTCCCTCCGCTGCCCCACCCCAGGGAATTGCATGATGCTGCTCCAAGTCTGAGCTGGTTTTGCCTGCAAATACTGTAGCTACGGAGAGCTAGGGCTGGCCTTTTGTGGGAAGTGCTAGCCTCCTTCCTTCTGGCAAGCTGACAACATGAGGGCATGCCATTTTATAAACACCAGGGCTGTGCACTTAACCCCTTTATATACGTATATATTGCATGGAAGTTGGGTTGTCACATTTAGATCCCAGGGTCACTTGCTGCCACGAGCTGAGCATCAGGCCCTTTGTACAGATGAGCAAACACAATCAGAAAAGGGGAACTGGCTTTCCAGGGTCATCCAGCCAGTAAGTGGTGGGTTTGGGATCTTGGAAAAAGCTATGGCTGCTCATGGCTCATGGACACTGTGCTCTGTCGCCCATATGTAACCGGTGAAGGTGTCAGAGTTCTTGCCCCTGCAGTTACCTGATATTCGGAGTCCACCTTGTGCTGCATGTCCCGCAGATACTGAACATCACTGACGAACTTCTTCCGGTCTCTTGCTTCATGCAACATGATTCTTAATCCTGACCTGCATGCAGGAGAGAAGTACATGAGCTGGCGGTGTCACTCTGCTGCTTTGCCATAGTCGGATGTATCACTGGCGGTTGCTTACTAATCTACTCTCCACTATTGGAAAGGCACACACGTGCCTGGCAGGTGGAAGGGGCTTTGTGGCGATGGTAGTGCCCTGTCAGGCCTCCTGTTGCTGGGCCACCTTGACCCGCTGGCTTCAAGGAAGCTGTCCCAGGTCCTCCCACGGTTACAGCCCCTGACTCTGGTGTAGTTCTATAGCACGGCAAGATGAGGAAATCTGAGAGCCTAAGTTCTCCATGACCAAAGCTAGATGTTCACTGAAATTTCTTCGCGCAGCAATTACTTCATCTCCCCCACTTGCCCAACCCCCAGTCCCACTCAGGCTCTATACCGGCACCTGCAGGGCGGGCACCCAGTCGGACGTGTGTGATCTCTGCTTCGGTGCTATCTGGAATCCAGGGTGGAAAACTACCCTTGGACAAATGAACGCCAATTGCCAAGGGTGCTTTAAGACATCGTCAGGGAGGGTGTGGCCTGGGCTGGAGGGTCCCTGGGACGTTTTCCCTAGGGCATGATGTGGGGTTTGGTAAGGACTGAGCCAGGCAAGGGACATAAGGGCAGAGGTAGATGAGGAAGGGGATGCAGGGCAGCAGGAGTAGAGATGGGGACCAGTCCCAGCAGGGCGGCAGGGTGGACAATGGCCAGCTGATGTGGGGCCTTGAACAATCATGATCGGAAGGGTCCTATGGAGTCACTGAAATGGGGGGGCGGGTAATGATTCCATGTGAGTTCCGAAGGTCCTGCCAGGTTTAGTGGGCAAAGGGGCTGGTGGTAGGGGTAGAAGCGCGGGGGGAGAGGGAATTGTGGGAGTTACTAACCAAGCCCCCGAGAAGGCCACCTTTCTAAATATTTCCACGTATTAACTCATTCCGTTTTCCCAAGGCTAGGAGGCAAAGACTAGCTCTCATTTTTGGCAGGAGAGGAAACTGAGGCACAAACAAGTTCCGTGACTTGCCTCACGCTGCAGCGCTAGAATCTGGAAGCACTGGGATTTGATCTGGGAGCATCTCATACCAGTGCCCACACTTAACCACGATGGTAAAGTCACAGGGGAGAAGCCCCCAGGATGCGGTAATTCCTGAATGGGGCCAGGGAGGGGAGCAAGCGGCTGTCTGAGAGTGTAGCTGCTGGGTCAGGGCAGGCTGTGGGCAGATAGCGGCAGGTGCGTGAGTGGGGGGCAATTCAAAGCGTTTGGGGTCTAGGGACTGATCATCTAGCGGTTCTGGAGCCTGTCAGAGAGGGCGAAGGTGTGGGCCTTGCTGGCATCTTGATGACAAGTTGAAGGCGGAGTGAGTCCAGAGGAGAGAGAGGGCGCAGGGCGAGGCTACCAGGGTCTTTCAGAAAGTTTGTGGAGGAATGGACTCAAAAGGCAGGCTTATTTCATGCAAAAAAATATTTTGAAATCCACACATCATTGTTTTTCTTCACAAACATTTTTTTTTTCACGAATACTTCCAAGAGCCCTTTCATGCATGATTTCCAACTTTTTTTTTTTTTTGTCTCTCAGATAAACTTCTTTCGCCCGTCCCTTTTCCGTGGATAAAGTAAAGTTCCCCAGGACAGGCAACTCACAGAAGCCTGACCAGAAACCGGAAAGGTCAGAGGCAAATCAGGCAAGTGCAGGCACACAGGGAGGCTTGGGGGAGAGGCGTGCTTCAGGATGGAGAGGCAAGGCTGCAGGCAAATGGCAGGAGGGAGGCTTTGGAAACGGGAAATGAAGTGCCAGGCAACAGGCTCCGAGGCTTTAGCAGGCATGGCCCTGACAGGTGTGCCCTAATCCAATGATCATAACACTAAAGCTCACACTGTTACAAGGGGGCTGCTGGGCCCCGTGGGGGTCGTCGTCAAAGCCGCCATCCCCTGAGCTAGTCCTACTCCGTGTCCACTCAAGCTCTTTCATTAGTTTCTATGCATGTTTATTGCCGACTCCTGTATGAGCCAGGATGCTCCAGGCTCCGGAGGAGACACCGCAGAGTCAGAACAACCTAGCCTGCACTGCAGTTGCTGGCATCAGGTGCTTCCCCGTGCTCCATGCAGGTGTGTAGGTAAGGGACCATGAGTTTGCACCTGACTCTTGGTGACCCCATAACCAGCTAGGCAGTGGTGCCATCCCATGAGGTTCAATGCCTGGCCCTGAACGGCTGGAAACCCTGTGCTTGCGGGTCCCTCAGGTTTCTACACTGGAATGTTGCCATTTGAGAGTCCGAGTGTGAGTCAACAACCCAAAATGTAGTTCCACAGTCACTACGCAAAACCCACAGTTTGTTTCTGAGCCCCTTGAAGGCATCATTTCTGGGACTGTATTTTTACAGCTCACTTTTCATGTGAACCTTCACCTGCTTTGAAGGAATTATTAGAGTAACTTATTATATATTATTATTTACTAATAAAATTACTTTTTTAGAAAATAGTGGTGTTCACAAGCAGCCCCTGCTACTCCTTTGGGAAGAGAAGCAAGGCAAGTGGGAGTCAGAATGAGAATACGGGGCTGGTGGGAATGGTGGCAGAAGGGGTCCGTCCCCAGGTCTGCTTGGATGACACATTGTGGCTGATCTATCCTGCCTTTAGTGCAGTGCTGTTTTGAGGTCGCTTCCAAAGCCAAGAGGCGTGAAATGACTTCCTTTAACTAGGCAGGCAACACCACCATGTGCATGGCTTGCCTGGCTGCCGCTGACTTCACAATCACCTACCAAATAAAGGGCTTAAAAATCGCCTGCAGGTGATCTCTTCCTCCCATAAACCTTCCCTGGTGCCGTACTGGACTACGAAATCAATGTCTAGGTGTGTCGTGGTCCACAGATCATTTCTTATTTAAGTACATCAAGACTTTGAAATGAGACGAACCCTGCAGACATCAAGGAAGCAGACTCTCCGCTTCAAACCAAGGAGATGGAAGGCTGGCCAAATCCCCATGTTCATTTGACCTTCAGGTTTGAAGAGTTGGCCAGGATGGACAAGAAACAGAGGAAAGCATGTGGAAAACGTACCCACCCGCGATAACCCTAACTTCCTGGATCTCAGCTTCGTGGAACTACTGCACCAGACAGCCAACGGGAACCAAGAGGTCTTTTTGTTTTGTTTTTCTATCAGTGCACACTGGTAGGAAGACAAAGAATGGAAAAAAATATATAAGCTAGCTGCATTATTTCCAGAGTAGAATTTAGAGGTCTTTCCCTATTACTCACCCTTGAACTGCTTCTCAATTTACAAGGCACTCCAGGTCACGCACATGCCTGTTTTAAGTCTCTGGTGAAGAGCTCTTGTGTCAAATTTGTGACTTAAAAGGGGTTGGTAAGAAACCATATTAAGGAGGGAGAGGAGAGGCTCCGGGGGCTGGGTGTAGGGAGGCTGCTTGGCAGGAAGCGAGAGCAAATGATTCTTCCGGACCTCAAAATTCTACACATCTGTGAAATTTCAATGAGGAATATTCTAAGAACTTGGTGACATGCACATCCCTGTCTGGTGTAAATCTCCGGCAAATTCCAACTGATCGCCCTGAATGAGGAGAAAAGAAAATGACTGAAGAATATATTGCTTTCAGTTCTCTTTAAAAAAAAAAATCATACTGCTGCATGTTCCAGTTGCGGCTCCTCCTTCACACGTGCCAGAGAACTGATCTGAAAGGAGCCCCTCAACAACAAGCAGGTCCGCCGTGTTCTTACAACATGCTCGGATCAGAATCACCAGGTCCACGTGGTGGAGCAGCAGGTGGACGCCTGCATCCCGTGTGGGTGGCGCTTCATGTCCCACCTGCTCTGTTTGCATCCAGCTCCCTTCTGATGGGCTGGGAAAGCAAAAAAAAAAGGATGGCCCAAGTCCTCGGGACCCTGTACCTATGTGGAATACATGGAAGAAGCTCCCGGCTTCAGATCAGCCCAACTGGCTGTTGTGGCCACTTGGAGAATGAATGAGCCATTGGGATGAAAGACCTCTTTCTACATCTCTCCATATCTCTGCTGCTGCAATAAAAATAAATAAGTCTTGGGTCCAGCATGGTAGCCTAACAGCTAAAGTGCTTGCCTTACACATATTGGGGTCCCATATGGGCGCTGATTGTAATCCCAGCGGCCCTGCTTTCCATCCAGCTCCCTGCTTGTGATCTGGGAAAGCAACCAAGGATGGTCCAAAGTCTTGGGACCCTGAACCCCGTGTGGGAGATCTGAAGGGCACTCCTGGCTCCTGGCTTCGGCCCTTGCAACCATTTGGGGAGTGAATCAGTGGACTGAAGATCTTCCTCTCTGTCTCTCCTCCTCTCTGTATATTTGACTTTCCAATAAAAATCTTTAAAATAAATAAATAAATCTTAAGAAATATTCGTTAAAGTATTTTCGCTCATGGCGTAAGAAGGGAAAATGTGGATTTAGCCTCTTCTTTAAAGCTGAAGAGTCTCCTGGAACCAAATCTAAATGACTGAGTGTCCATTAGATTGATCAATCTTCCCCTCCCCCATTCCTTTTCACAACTGGGTTCTAGGGAGAGGATCTTGAAATCTTGTTTTCAACCTTTTCCACAATTAATGAATGCAAAATGACAAAGAGGATGGGAACTGCTTCCATCTTAGCCTTAAAAATATCCAGTTGACATCCGGTTTTCCAGCACGCCTAGTACTGTGGACAGGTGAATGGGTTGTGGGCTCGGACTAGAGTGAACCAGCGTGGCTTCAGGAGGCGCAGATGTGGGAGGACGCCGGATTTGTTTTGGGCACCGACCTTCGAAACCCGTTAGGGAGATGAGGTTAGAGACTCAACGCGTTCATTCTTGGGGCCCGGAGGCACAGCCCCGTGTGCCTTTCCCGGACCTGAGGGCCGTGGAGTCTGCGGGAAGATCTGTAGGTGCGAGCACTGCGGAGGCGCCAAGGACCCCGCCCCCGGCCCGTTGAATGGCTGGGGTAGCCCGCAGGCAGCAGCAAAGAGAATCGA